AAATCTTGTCTGTGCTGTTTAAGGACAATTTGATGTTTTACGACAATCGCATTGATTATCTGAATGTTTTACGACTTGCCGTCTAGTGGTCGATAATAATTAGGTATCATGGGATATTTAAATCGTAGAATAGTTATTGCTATTTTTACCGCTCCATCAGTTGATATTGATCGCTAAGTGCAGGCATATGCTCTTTGCAAATGCAGAGGAATTCTCAGCCACAAAGGACTTTGAATTACGCTATTTGGTGGTATGGCGGAGATGAAAAATTATTCTAGAGTCTCCAAGGGCCAAAGAAATGGAGGAGAGAAGCTTGAGGCAGACATTTTTCAGGAGATCTTAATTCAGTATTCATTACACCCCTAGGAATGAAAAAAAGAGCAATATCTTTTTGCGAGTGTGTTTTTTTTTTTTTTTGATTTTCCTAAGATTTTTGGACGGCTGACAGCTTAGAGAACAAGAATTGTGAAATATCATGAGACGATATGTGCGTGCAATCAGCTGGAATTTTATTAATTTACCCCTCCCCCTCTTTCTCTTTCACTCCCTCTCACACAACAAATAATGCCTCCATTTATCTTGTTCCAGATAACTCATAAAATGTATGGTCGCTTGCGTGGCGCAGTGGTTAGAGCGTCTGCTCTACAGTCGCGGAGTAAGGAGTTGATCCTTACGTCGCGGGTACGAATACCATTGTGGGACGTGGAGACCGGTCCTTCGGATGAGACCGTATAAACCGAGGTCCCGTGTCGCAGTAGGTGCTGGCACGAAAAGATCCCTCACTGCTCAATGGCCGTAAGTGCCGAGTATAGGTCAAAATTTGCAGCCCTCCAACGGCAAATGGTGGCGTCTCCATATGAGTGAAAAATTCTCGAGAGGGGCGCTAAACAGCAAACAAACAAACAAACATAAGATGTATGTACATATACTAGTATGTGCTTCTAATATTCGAAAAGAAAAATCAGTCCACGAGTTTTACAATGTTTTATACTTGGTTATACATGTATTTGTTTCTGTATAAAACTACAAAAGTTAATAGGTGCAGATGGGTTTCAAACAGACAAATTTATGGCGAATAAAAATCGAAAATCAGCTTATGTATTTATCACAGATTCAAGGAGTGTTCGGGAAGAGGAGCGAGGAAGAGAAAAAAAAGACTACACTGTTAATCTGCCTCTGCCTGGGTATATTTTGTTTTATATCATTGGATTAGGCGTCAGTGGGAGTATTTTGCAACTTAATTTTCTTCGTTACAAAATCAATTTCTGTACAAAAAGACTGTTTTCTTTCACACAAAAAAGAATTTTGTACTAAGAAGGAACCAGAGCTGTTAATTGGCACTACTTTACGTCACCTAACTGTGTCTGGTAGAGTGAGAACGATAAAGACATACAGAGACACCGACTCTCTCTCTCTCTCTCTCTCCCTGTGTATCTGTCTATCCCTATCTCCATCTCTCTCTCTTTCTCTCTCTCTCTTTCTCAATGTGTTTTTCTTCTGTCCGTATGTCTGCCTGTCTCTGTCTATTTTAATCTCTCTGTCTCTGTTTTTTCTGACTCTCTCTTTGTCTATTTATATCTCTGTCTCTTTTTTGTCTGTTCACGTCTTTTTTCTATCTCTATTATTTTTCTTTATCTTTCTCTCTGTCTCTCTCTCCGTCTGCCTCCCTCCATATCTCTCTCTCTCTCTCTCTCTCTTCGTCTGTATCTCTTTTTTCTCATTCTATCTCTGTCCCTCTATGTCTGTTCTTTCTTTCTTTCTCTATCCCTTTCTTTCACGCCTCTTTCTCTGTCTCTCTCTCTATCTCTCTTTGCCCCTCTGTCTTATTCTCTCTCTTCTGCTTATCTCTATGTCTTTCTCTCTCTCTGTTTTTTTCTCTGTCTCTCTCCTCTATCTCTTTCTCTGTCCGTCAGTCTCTCTCTCTCTTCCTCTCAAAATATGTCTCTCTCTCTCTCTATCTCTACCAATCTCTCTCTGACTATCTCTGTCTTCTCTCTTTCTGTCTCTCTCAGTCTTTCAAGAATCGCTCAGACTCGATCCTCCAAGGATTATGTACACAGATTCTGTTGTTGTCTTCATCGGAAATCAAGCTATCGAGTAACCATGCACCTATATTTGTATGTTACTTGTAATAAATCAATACTCTTGTTTTTTGGTGTGTTTTTTTTTTTTTTTGTTTTTTTTGTTGTTTTTTTTTGTTGTTTTGTTGTTGTTGTTGTTTTTTTGTTTTTTTGTTTTTGTTTTTTGTTTTTGTTTTTTGTTAGGTTATGCTTGAATTGGATTTCCTTGGAATTGAATTAATTAGGACTCAGCATATTGTATTAGGTTTAAGCTTTTTTTTTCTTCTGTAAATTGGACCAGATGAACTCATACTGAGTCTTGTAGGCTCAGTGATTCTGACACGAGCGAATTGATGTAAAATTTAAATCAAATTTGTTTAGATTTAATAATATTAGTGTGCGTTTCACACGTTATATCCCGGCGTGTGTGTAAGACGGGGGATAACTCTAATTCAGACTCGAACTCTAAGTGCATCTGTAAAATTTGAGTGGTCTAACTTTTCATACTATACCACAATATTATCATAGGTTGGTTGTGGTTCCGTTGCTGTTACGTATGATGAGTGGTGGTTAAGTATCATTAGAAAGGTTACCTTTTGCTTCTGGAAATAAATCATAATGGATGGAAATGTATGAAAGTTGATTATAAAATATGTCGAATAGTAAAACAAGCATTCTGAGAGTATTGCATTAATACTAGTCCCCTACCGGCAAGTGTAATCTGGTTCCGTTCCCGTTAAGAATTGAAAATGCCATAATTCCGTCAAAAATTAATGAAGCGGGACGAAATGCAAACTTGTTCTATAACTAATCAAGGTAAAGCCACATACCAAAAATCAGCTCAATATCTACAAGCGTTTAGAAGAAAATTGCGGAAAACCCGCAAAAATTGAAAAGGCGGTAATTCCGTCAAAAATCAATGAAGCGGAACGAAATGCAAACTTGATCTGTAACTCATCAAGATACACTCACATAATTTCAGTTGGTCCGGAGGGGGGAGGGCACAAAAAAACTTCTCCTACGGCCATGCGACGAACATATAAAATTTAATTTCATTATTGTTGCTGTTTTTACATGTAGAAGTGGTTCATTTTGTCAGTGCCGTTTTTTTTTTCTTCCCGTGGTAGATCCTTCTCTATTAATTTTTTCTAGAGGAATGTATTTAGCATAGTTCCGTTAAAATAACTTTGACCCCTTCCTCACACAGAGGAAAATGGGACCTAGTGAGAAATTTAAAACCGTATACAATGTATGTGTGGGAAACTTCTTGCTTTGTAGTAAGAATTTGTAAGTGTTAAAGTTTTTTTTTTTGTTTTATTTTCGTTTTTTTTTTTTTTTTGTTTTTTTTTTTGTTTTTTTGTTTTTTTGTTTTTTTTTTGTTTTGTTTTTTTTGTTTTTTTTTTTGCACCCTCTCCCCCAGCTTATTGATAAATTCGGTGTATAACATTGGTTTATTCGGTAAACCTTGCCCCTTCCACCTACAGGAATTTTTTTGTTTGTTTGTTTGTTTGTTTTTTTTTTTTTAATTCTCTCAAAACCAGATCACTGGTAGAGGAGATACATATATACAAATATATACAGCTAAGGATAAAAATAGACAATTATTTAAAGAAAGGGGGGGGGGAGATAAGAAAAAGATAAACAAAAGCCCTAACCCCCTCCCTTCTCAGATTTATTAAAAAAAACTCAAATGAGCTGGGTCTTTTTATTGTTTATACTCACATCCTCCCCCTTTAAAAAAATAAATTAAAATTTCTTGACCCTTGAAATGTAAAATGAAATATAAAGCGTAATTACATTAATAGCTGAAATACTTTAAAATTGACAAGGACAACTCTTCTATTCCCATACACTAACAGGTCGACCCCCTAACCGTAACATCGTCTACAACCCTCTGTATTGTACTTTGACTGATCTGTGATAGCATTATAATTACTGGGAATGTCATGTCCATGCTCCCTTTTGTCGAAATCCATCGGGTGTGAAATGCTAAGTGACTGCCTGTACCCGACTCCATGTTTATAAACCGGACGCTGGAAAAGTTTGCAAGGGTTATAAAAACGGAAAAGTACAAGCTGAAAGAAATTAGCAAGCTTTAAGAAGAAAGCTAGTTAATTTCTTCTATTTTCATAAGTTTGATGAAGTTCAGGTTTTATTAACATTGTTCTTCTGTTAGTAAAATCAAGGAGAGAGAGAAAGAGAGAGAGAGAGACGTTCATTTTTCGTATTTGATTTGTACTTAGGATTTATTTCTTTCACGATACAGGAAGTGTAAATAGGCTTTATGCGAGTTTATTCCTCCATGAGAAAATCTAGACCCCACAGTGATTTATTCAAAAGGTTAAAACTCCAAGTATAGGCTGACTAAATATTGATCGAAGACTTGTAACAAGAGCTAGGGATTATTTCAAAAAATGCTGACCTCTCTTAAAGGTTTTATCAGACATTTTTGTGTTTTAAAAAAAAAAAAAACTTGTTCATAATAAAATCAATGATTACCTACAAAAGATTGATTTGGGTCGATACTCAATTTGCTTTTAATTTTTTAATATCTATGACTGCTGTACCATGAACATTTTACGATTAACGGTAAATTACGGCATTGTATATAGGCCCTAGACATTAATTGAATTGCCCTGACAAGTGTACATGAACGCTATATTCACATCGTATATTGAAAGTTTTCATAACGTGTATGTCATGTTTTATGAGAATATAACTCATTACAAATAATTAATTGTCATGAAAAGTGTAAATAAGTAATTTATATATTCGTCAACTTGTGACATATACCCTGAAGAGTTTTATTGAACATGACAACAGAAAACCAACCATGCATGAAATGTTTTGATTCTTGTCACATAGACGCTTGAACACAGGTGAAAAAAAAAGTGTGAAGAGACATTTTTCAGTGTCCGCTGATGTTTTATTTTACATAGTTTATAAACTTAGAATTGGGTATGGTCCAAACAACGAAAATTTATTGCAAGTGAAGGAAAACAGTTAACCTGTGGACCGAAAATATGGGTAAGTGTTTATTCATTTTTTATTTAGGCAACGCATTTTTATTATTGGCATTTAATTATTTACCGAAAATTGCGTAATTTGCAATTCATAAATATAATTTCTAAGTGAAGAGTTTGCACCTGAATGCATTCAAGGGACAGTTTATTTTTATTTTTTAATTAAATGGAGTTTTTTTTTAAACACATGATATTTGGAGTTTAAGAAGAAGTAAATTATTTAAATTGTACAATCTGAGGTGTTTAATGACTTGTTTTTCTTTCTAACTATTTCCATTTTTATGTTATTATTTACAAAATAATGAATCTTACACGACAGTTAAAGGTTAATGTATTTATACCGAGGCGGAGAGCCGGAACAGGTTGACCATGCAGTTTAGTACAAAGTGTGTTTTATTTAATATCAAACCAAGTTCTTAACCACTTAACTTAAGAAGTCAATAAGATTATGTATAATAATCTGTCTCAGACCTACTTACGAGATTACTCCATAAGTTGGCTTTGTTTGTTTTTAATCAAAGTTGCCCTTTAAGAATGTCATGTTATTTAAAGGTCTAAATGATAGGTCATCCAAAAATAGATAACATGATTAAAGATATTGTCATTTTTTCAATGTTATTTGAAAGAGCATTAAAACCTATGATAGCACTCATTAGTCCAGACTCAAAGAACAACTTTAAAAATGTGAAAGTTGGGGGGGGGGAGTTAAAATTGTAAATCATTTGTCATTTTTCTACATCAGAATTAAAGCATATGACACCCCTTCCAAATCCTCAACCCAACCCCCACCCCCTATCCATCCCCAGATTCTGTCGGATCTTTTTCATGTTGAATTGTGATGATACAGATACAACGTTATTTACTTCTATATGGGACATACCTGGACATAAAACACAAGCTGTGTACAATTGTACTACGTGCCCACAGGGTGCGTAGATTGATATCATTTGTCAATGAAACAGCTGGACTCTAATCAATATTAGTCTTTCCTTTAAAACATGGCTTCAGTTTCAAATGCCACGCCCACATTTTTCTACCATTTAGAGCATACATGTATTTTAGATTGTGTACGGACAAATAGCAGTATATTAAATAAATAAATAATATTAATAAATGATTAACACTATATTGAAGCCACATTACCCAAGGGGATAATATCATATATAGTTATATGTATCAGTTTGATTGAGTGAAAATATTAATCTTTTTATTACGATAGAGTTTACGTTAGGGAAAATTCACTATAAGCACTGTTATATTTCGGGACCATTTTTCTTCAGTAACACAGAAGCGTTTTAAATTATGCAAATTATTTGCATCATTAATGATTTAAATTGCAAAACAACTGAAGTAAACCTCATTTTTCATTGTCCAAATGAGAAATCGAGAGAAAAAAAACTGACTTCATTAATCTGTGAGATTTTTATAATGTAATGACAAGTATTTATCGTACCATTTCGGAAGGCAACAGAAAGAAACATTTTAATGTCTTCTTTCAAACCGTCAGCGTGGAAGATTGATGGTATTTAAGTATTTCCTAGGAATTCCGATAAATTGACATCTAGGAACCCTATTGGTCAAACTTTTCATAGGATTTCTAACAAAAGTATGAACGTGTAGGGGTATTCCATCACAAGACCAGTCTATAATTATAATTTTTTTGTTAGTGAGTGGAGGATAAACAATTAGATGTAAATATCATAGATTTTAGATCATAGCTAAGCAACAGCTTGTCCAAAATTTAATGCTATTCTAACGACATATGGTGACCCTTGATTAATTGCATGCTTAATGATAAACTGGAGAGTAGTTCGCTTTCATGCTGTATAAAACTATAATAGATAGCAAGGGATCAGTATAGAGTCCATTGTATTATAAATTTTGTGAAATGAGAGAGAGAGAGAGAGAGAGAGAGAGAGAGAGCAATTTAAAGAAGGTACAGATATATTTAAGGAGGTGATATATGTATTTGCGGGGATTATCAAATATAGGCCTATATCTATTCCACCCACCTTCGTTTTTTAAGGGTGTGTGTGTGGAGGATTGGGGAAGGAGGTATGTGAGAGAGAGAGAGGGAGAGTGATACTGCATCGTAATTTGTTTTAAAATATGTATATGTACCTTTTGAACCATTTATATGTTTTTGAAAGAGTAAATGAATGAAGAGCACTGAAGTACTTTTTCTGGCATCGATCATCCGTTCTTATTTGAGCAATTGTATTTGATAATTCTGTTATATAGGTATGAGAGAATTTTACTGAAATATATAAATTATTATGAGATAAATTTGTTAGAATATAAACGTGAAAATGGAGGATGATTGAAATTAAGAAAATACACTGTTAAACACATGTAAAATTTAAAAATGGTCATTATTGTCAAACTCCGGTAAATTTTGTCTTAAATAAGAACCATTCGACCGTTACTAGTGTACACATAATTATGGCACATTTTTTCAGTAACACCCCCGGGATTTAAAATTCTTAGAGACGTCAGGCTTAAAATGTCAAAACGGAGAAATTTAAATTTTATGATTCATGAGTTGAAAAACAAACAACACTCTTGACCCCACTTTTACCTCAGATAATAAACAGGTAATCATTTCTCAGTCTAACGGGAACGAGAGAGGGAGATAAGAGTTGTCGTTCTTAATAAACAAGTGATTAAATAATTTTTAAATAATTTTGTAAAAAGAAAAAAGAAAAAAAAAAAAGAAAAAAAGAAAGGCAAAATGTAATTTTGGAATAGGTTACTTATAGTCAAGCATATAGCGATATCAGTATTCAAAGCTTTCTTGAAAAGAAAATTCAACCGTAAATATATCCTTGAGAGTGAATTATTGACAAGGAAAAAAAAACATTATATTATCTCTGTGGTCCTTACTACTCTTGTATGAAGTCAACTGATAAGTTACACATCTAGAACGGCATATTTCCTTTTCACTTTAAACAGATTTCTTTTAATTTCCCACTTTTTTTTTTAGGAAAACATTTCTGAAAGGAATGAATTTGTAGTAAAAAGTTCTTCACGACATTCACTACGGGAGTTATTCCCCTTTTTACCATTCCTCTTACAAGTGCTATAATTCAGAGAAGTTAAACCTTACTTTAACAAGACAAAAAAGTCCATGTGAAACATGTAGTTGATGTTTCATTTTATTTATCTGATGTTACTGTATGACGCGTCGTTTCCTCTCAAATTAAAATTTTATCCCTAATTTCTACATGTGCCTAAATTACAATTGTCTTTGTCCTACAACCAATGATAGTAGCAACTTTAGCGAGGGTGACATAGTCTGCTTAGATCTGCTTAATATCAGACAATATAACAGAAAAATACATTTATCATTTATGAATTGATTTGCAGCTTGCCCGGATATAAAACCCGAGTCCGACGTGGATTTCATCCTCAGTAGTTACAACACAACCGTTGGTACAGAGGTTCTCATTGGCTGTAAGAAGTTTGGCTACAGATTGGAGGGACCATACAATGTCACGTGTTTATCCAATAGCACGTGGTCACCCATACTCACGTCGAATTCTCTGCAATGTAAATGTACGTAATCGAAACGTGTACATTCTCCCGTTAAGGTTCGCCATCCTTCTGTTCATCTCTATGAAATTTCTCTTAGTGTTAATGACTTTCGAAAAGAATTGTAATTTATCATTATTTATCATAAGAATGCAACCAATTTCAAAGTACCTTGCGGGGAAAAATTGACAGAAAATTTTTAAGTTCATAATTTTAAAGAGTAAAAAAAGTCTTTTATCCAACTTAAGTCATTGAACCTTAAAAGAGGAAGGTTTGAAAAATCTGGAGACATTCATGGACAAAGTATGTTGTCAATTTTAAATCGTATATATACATGTATCTTTAGTTGATTTTGACAAATAGTGATAATTCCTCAGTTTAACACAAAATATACAAAAAGAATAAAGGTCGATACATATAAATGTACCTGCATTGTAATTCCTATTATATATACACTGTTATAATTACTGAGTTCATACCCGAAAATTGCCTGCTATTCTCATTTTGATAATTTTCAATATAACGTTATTTTCAGTTTTATGTTATATATAAGAATAAAACATGATATAAGGCTTACCAGAATTAATATCTTGATAATGACTCTCATTCTTCTAGTATGCAGAATTGTCGTTCGTTCCTCTCTCAGACATCTCTGCAATGGGCTCGCGTCAAGATTTTTGACATAACGTTAAAAACATAGGATTTCAAGGATTATTTCAAATTAAACATAGTTTTATATCTATTTAATAAATATCTATCTATCTTTAAGGACTATCATTACCCCAGACATTTAATTATAATGAATTAAAACAAACGCACTATTTCTCGTGCTTATCACTGTGATATACGCGAGCCGACGACAGAGGTGAATGTATGAGCCGATGGTAGAGATTGAATGACTCTGTGTCCCTCTATTTTTTTATTTAGGGACGGGGGAGTTGAACATGTACGAGAAGATCGTGATAGGGACCGGAGCGGGCTGTCTTGGACTCCTCGCATTCGGATTACTTCTAATCTGTTGCTGCTCATATATACACAATCAAAACCAAAAAAGGTAAATTAAAGTAGTAATGAATCATGAAGTTTACATAATAAAAACCTTAGAAAAAGGATTGCAGAGAATCACTTTATTAGTATTCACGAATAACGTGAGTACACACGTTAATAAAGTTTAAAAAAAAAAAAAAACAAGATGTGTTTGTGAAACACTATTCCCCCTTATGGCAGCTTATTGCTAAGTAAAGTTTCTCAAATGCAAGTCAAACTCTCAGAAATGTTGGTACCCAAAGAAAAGGTTTATCTCAAGGAATGTAATTGTGAAGTATGACAGACCTTGCACCAACCGTTCAAAAGTTATGGCTAAGGTTTAAGTTTTTAAAAAGTAAGTTGAACATCAAGGTCAAATGGTGCCCAAGGGAAGCACGAGAAAATACACATGTGAAATATGTCAGCCCTAGCACCAACCACTAAAAAGTTATGGTCAATGTTAAAATTTTCAAAAGTAGATCAAACTCCAAGGACAAGGTCATGAGGTCAAAAATACATGTATTTATATCCAAAGAAAGGTCTTTTCAAAATAAATCTACAAAAACCGTATCACCAACTATTCAAAAGTTAAAACCAAGGTTAGAGTTTGGTAAAATTTTGCAAAAGTCGGTCAATCTCCAAGGTAAAAAAATATTGAAACCCAAGGAAAGGTCTTTTCACAAAATATACCCACGTAAAGAATGAAAGTCCTAGCATCAACTGTTCAACAGTTATGACCAAGGTTAACTTTTTTTTTTATCAAAAGTAGGTCAAAGTCCAAGGACAAGATCATGAGGTCAAAAATATATTATATCCAAGGAAAAGTCTTTTCAATATAAACATACATATGAAGTATGAAAGCTCTAGCACCAGCTGTTCGAAAGTTATAGTCGAGGTTAGAGTTTGGAAAAATTTTGCAAAAGTGGGTCAATCTCCAAAGTCAAGAGGTCAAATACGTTGGTACCCGAAAAATGGTCCTGTCACAAGAAAAAACACTTATGAAATATGAACACCACAACTCCAACCAATCAAAAGTTATGGGCAAGGTTAAAATTTTTGCGGAAGAAAAGACAGACGGACGGATATTGCAAAAACTATATGCCTCCAAATCTTCGATTACAGGGGAATGAAACTGCTTCTGCCATGATAAACACAAATAGAAATACCCAATGAAGATTTTTAGCTGTATATACTTATATGTGTACCATAGCGAAGAAATGTGTCCATTGGTATCTTTGCTTTACTTCATGAAGAAAAAATTATCTCTTATGTTTGCCTCCCACTAAAAAAAAGTTTGGAAATCTTACAAATTATATACTAGAGAGAACCTATACAAAAGAATTAGCACAATGACAATGTCAGAAAACGGTTATATAAACGTATATTGCATCCCGATTGTCGACGATCGATGTAGTACGGGGATACTGTACACATACTTAATTAAGCGGCTTTTGTACAGCTGCTTTTGTCAGTTAATCTTTAATATGGAAGGTTCAGTTTTCATTTTTTATTTTGTAGAAAAGCAGCGAATCAGAGATCCTATTCACAGTTTGATCCGCCCCAGAAAGATCACCAGTATAGTAATGATTATATCAGACAGAGTGGACCCTACGCTGACAGGATAACTTCGGGGGACGGGTATAAGTAAGTGTTTCTACTAACCCCCCAACCCTCCTCCCTGAAAACAGTCCGGGGACGGGTATATATAACTGTATCTAAAAACTCGACAGACAACAACCTTCGGGAGGGGGGGGGGTATTCTAACGAAAATCTGTACCTAAAGCGTAAACAAGAGGGATTGGTATATTTATATGTAGATGAAAAAGGTGAGGATAAGGAACAGTGATCAAATTAAAAAAATAAACATACATAAAGTTGCCTTGGAGGAGTTGTAATGTCTTTTGCTCATAGGAACGACACGTCCGAGACAAGGACGGCAATAAGGTTTAATTTAAAACAGTTGAGTTATAGGACATGTGAGATAAGTGCAGATCATCAAGGGATATAAAAACACCTATATACTCATCTTTCTTTGTCATAATTAGCTGATCGAAAGGGTGAAGGCATGAAAGAGCAATATGCTTTTTATGGGACCTTCAACGTTGTCGTGATTTGTTTTAAACTTTTCCATTTCGTTAAACTGAGCCCACTTGGTAGAGGATAAATATCCAAGGCGAACACATACGAGAGGAAAATAAACAAAACCCCAGCAAACATTAGACTGTTTTCTCCTTTTTTTATACCATTGTAATAGCGATAAGCATCAATTAAACATTCTTAAGTATTCAAAAATCCGTTTAGTGTATGCGAACATACACAGGTACGTCATATTTTTAACGTTTCATTTTTACTCATTTAAGAAATGCCTTGTCTTGACATAGCTTAATCATTCAAACAGGAGACCACAAGGTGTTATAGATGATCCAGGCAGTTATCATGTGTATACCGGAAGAAAGGGAGACAACGACGGGAAGCCAGCATATCAGTATGATAACCGAGCTTTCGAATCTCAGGACCAGAGTTTTAACAGTTTACATCGGAAAGATCCGCCATATTGGTAAATATTTTACGACTGACAGCAGTAAATAAAGTATAAAAAATTCAAAGACATACTTTGATAATACATTTGTTGTGTTAAAAATATGATTAATATTCGTTCTTAAAAGCTTATTCACAACTTGTGATGGTGAATTTTATAAAGAAGTAAATCAAGAGACAATTAATTGTTGATATAAAAAAAAGCACAAAAACGATTTAAGAAAATACATATTTCCTCATATTCCAACTTTTCCACATCACCTGTAATATTTTTTTTCATATTCCCTTTAAAAGAATATTATTGATAGAGTCTTTTGACTGATTGTGCATCAGTTATCCTGTTTAGCTTGAAAATGCTAAAATTGAAACATTTTTTTTTAATGTGATAAGGCTTTAAAACTTATAGGGTGAATCTTTCATATTTATATACGTGAGTATGGTATATTCATTTTTATTTAAAATAATGGAAACAAAATATGTTTTCCTAATTACTGAACACACTATCAAGGGGTGGTTTGATCACGAAGTAATTTGATTTTTAACTGAAGTACAAGATATACAGATGTCATTTATGGAAGGTTTTGCACTTTTTTATTTTTGCAAGATATTTCTTTCCTTCAGTTATGCACAGTATGTTTTATTACACATTTTATCAATTAGAATTCTATTTTCAAAAAGGCAGGTATTTTCATACGTGATTTGCTTCTATTATCACAAATATTTTGAAGAGTCTTTAAATTGTTCCATAAAACAAAGAGAGGGGTTTTTTTTGTAGTAAAAGTAAAAAAGCAACGCTGCGTCATGATGTGATATTTTTTTTTCAAGTTTGCAGTTGTGGAAATAACACCGTTTTATAGCTTTGTTAGAGGGAACTTATCAATGAACATAAAAAGAATAATAAATAGAAAAAAATCTTACTGTAGTTTGGCATGATTTCAAAGTTTAAACTTTAATGAACCATTTCATTTTCATTTGATAGACAAAATTATTCAGAATTTTATATATTTTTAGTTTGATTATGTTCAATTTTTAAAAATTGAAATATGTGATTGTCACCTACATATTTGTGTATTTGATTGATGTTGTATATCATTTCTAAAGCTCTATACACTGATGTCAGAATACTTTTTTTGCAGGAATGGTCAGATACCACGGCCACAGATACGAGACACTAGACATTACTACTGACCTATTATAAAATCTTGTAGTCAAATGTACTCGTATATAGCGTCATAGTCACTTGACCGGATGTAGCACCAACTACAGATGAAAATGTCACCCTAACCTGAAAAAAATCGGAGTAAATCAAGTTCAAGAGGATTCAAAGAGATATCTTACCATATCAAGAAGAGTATATAGATGTAATCACATTCTCTAGCTACATGAAACACTATGCAATCAGTGTATACAATCATGTATCTTATCGATTAAGCTACGTTCTTATGTTTATAATGAGAGAGTAGCTCGAAAAGCGTGCAACAGATCATAGATAAACAATGTATGGTTCTTTTCATACAATAAATAGTATGCACTGTAAATTGTTAAATGTGGGTATATTACATATTTGAAAGTTAAAGAACTGTTAAATGATAACTATCTGAACCCTTTAATATGATATTATAATATTGATATTATGATTTAATATGGAGGACCACCTTGTTTATCAGGGGAGAATTTTAGAATTTACTGAAATTATGAAGGTTCTCTCTCTTCTTCATGACTCCCAGATATGATATACAGCTTGACAAGATATTTGGAAATATTTCCCGTTCATTTAACCTACCTGTAGTTACAATTCCAAGTCAGTAAAAACAGTAATTTATGTTCTTATGTACATTTCTCACAGTGGAGTTCCAAAAATGTTGAAGACTTAGATTTAGGTTAGAAATAAAATTTCAGCGCCTAATCGCTTGAAGTCAAATTTTACAGCGATTTGCTGAAAAAAAAACTTTTGAGGTTGGGTTTCAACTTTTTAAGCAATGTAAATGTTTTCAATACAAGTTTTTTTTATCTTGCTGAGCCAAAAAGCATAATTCGGAACTAGGCAATGAGATGAAAATTTCTGTTTGTGATCAAAAATCAAAAATCAAACCTTGTTTCTTGTAACAAAAGCTACTACTGCGATAATGACCATGCAGGAAAGTCTAGCCACTTTGAACAATGGTGGCTTTCTTACATTATATTATACATGTACATTATATAACATGCCATGGTTCTACAAGTAGGCCTAGCTTAGCACTGCTGCCAGACAAAGAATGAGAAGCATTCGTTATTCCTCAGTCCTAACAACACTGTACAACTTCCAGTCTTAAAGTTTGCATAAATTGAATCTCCCACAGACAGTCACATATGTTTTTTTTTTTAAATCAGCAGATTTCATTCCAAAAATTTATATTTTGTATCTACAATAACAAATGTAAAGAAACAAGAGTTAAGTCATAAGAACTAACACAATGTCAAATACCTAAGAAGGAAGTCAGTATCCCTCCAGAGCTTCCGTATCTAGTGTAACCATGAAAGTCAATCAAAAAACTCAAGCAATGATACATAAAAAATACGAACCACCCTTTTGATATTCCAAATGACACAGCATCAACAGACAAGTTAGAATCAGTAGATGTTTGGATTAAAATAATGCAATAATCAGGGGCATGGATATATAAATAATCAACCCACTAAACAAGGGGCCCGTGGGCCACATCGCTCACCTGAGCACACTGGCTAGGAAAAAGCAGAAATCAGTTCAGTATTGAAAAGTTTAGAAGGACAAACTTAAATTTACACTACTTCAGGATGCTTCCATTTCAATATTACTAATCATGGCTTTGCTGTCCTTGAGCAAAGAAATTTGAAAGATTTCTTTCCCTTTGTTTTCTTATGTGAAACTCTGATCGTTCATTGTGTCCCAACCCTACCCACCCTTATTTGAACAAATTTGAATCTATGCTACCTGAGAATGCTTCTATAATAATATGACTAATCATGGTTTTGCTGTTCTTGAGCAGAAGATTTTTTCAAGATTATTCTTATACATCTTATGTAAAACTTTGACCCTCTGTTGTGCCCCCAACCTCTTGGAGATCATAATTTGAGCAAACATGAATCTAAACTACATGAGAATTCTTCTGTATTTATATGACAAATAATGGCCCAGCTGTTCTTGAGAAGAATATTTTTAAAGATATTTCCCATACATTCCTATGTAAATCTTTGGCCCCCTGTTGTGTCTGCGCCCAACACACAGAGGTCATAATTTGAACAAACTAGAATCTAACCTTTCACATAAGTTTCTTATTTTCTTGCCCAGTGGCTCTTGATAAGAAGATTTTTAAAAGATGTCACCAAGTTTCAAGAATTCTTAATTATCTATCCTTGAAAGATGGCGTTATACTTCCTGTGAAGACTTACCTCCCCTTCACCCAAGGATGCGTTGTGGCAAATTTGGTAGAAATTGTCCAAGTGGTTCTTGCGAAATGTCGAAAATGTGAAAAGTTTACAGACGACAGACGGACGCCAGATACTCTTTGATCAGATAAGCTCACTTGTGACGGTAGATATTGTCGTTTTGTACATATTGTCGTCGGCGACAACCTAACAGAAAGCGAACCCAAACCAAACCCCGGGTTCGGTCGGGGTCTGCTAGAGCGTTTTTAACGGACATTTGGTTATAAATAATGCAACCAGTTACCATGATCATGGTGTACCTAAGTATAACTCCCCTTACATTTACACCTGCCATAACCCCCTCCTTCTCTCACTCCATAAGTTACATGGTATGGATACAATTTTTAATGTAAAAAAATTAAGATTATGTTTAATCTCATGCCGCTAATCAAGTAGTGATCATATTCCTTCCTATTATATTTACTGTAGCTTTTTTGTCGGGGGGGGGGGGGGGGGGGGGCTAATGAAAAATCGTTATGTACAAATTCTGTCTCAAGAAAAAGTTTTATAAATTGCATTTTTATCAGTTTTTAACATTGAAATTACGATGAATAAATTCAAATCATTAATCGTTAGACAGTCGAGAAAAAGATTTTCACCCCTTTTTGATGTTATTGGGAATGTTAAGAAAAAAGCATGACTTACACAAAGTCGATGCAAAAGAATTGAATGTGTATTATTACAAGGTGCATATAGATTCACCGATTTTCCTTTTCGGAACAAAATTCGGAGCACCTTACCAAAACTGTACTAAACCAATAATCAAATGATTTCAATCTCTTTCTCATAAATTGGGCTGCCGCTTAATTTTTTTAAATTATAATACGAGGAGTGATCAAAAAGTTCGCGAACTATCTCTATATTTACAATACCACAATTCAGATCAGAATGGAATTTGGCACACATATAGTTGTACAAATGTTCTATAAATAGCAGATGTTACGTGGTGTTTTGATCCATGTTTGTGACGTCACAATGGGAAAATGACGTCTATATGTAGATGACTTGTGACAAAAAATGGTTGACTCAGTCGTACTCGAGCAACGAAGGGTTGTAAAGTTTTTCGTATATCTTGGAAATTCCTTTGCAGTAATATATAATAATTTGTACAAGGTTTATGAAGACAAAAGACTTGCCAGAAGTTCAATCATTAATTGGATTGATTGTTTTAGTGAAGGAAGGGAGATTTTTAAAAATGATGTTTGTTCTGTTGCCCAGTGAAGGCAAGCTGGGGAAGCGATGTGTCCTTAGTTGCGCAATTTGTTATGAGAGATCGCCAAGTTACAATTAGAAAAGTAGTTGAATATCTTAACAATAACATAATTAATAATTCCCTAAAATATCATTCAATAATTAATTGAAAAAAAGGAATTTGTATATTTACTTCTTTTTGGATAAAGTACATGTAACTGATTTTTGTTCTTTTCATCAGTCCATAGTCATTTGATATAATACAACATTCCTGAACGTAAACAACTATTTCCCCGTAAATTATTGTCCCCGGCCCGAATGTTTTTTTAATAACCCTTGTTTACTCAGTTATTAAAAATAGTTATGTAAATATAAAACAAACACACGATTGCAATGCAGATTTTCATCTTGCCGAATCCATTCTCGCTGAGTGATAATTCTATGTAGAAAATACATTAAGGGTTAAATTCTGGTAATTTTATTAAAGTCCTCCGTTTGTCACTAACAGGTATACAAGCTTCTTATCGCCACTGATCAAAAAAGAACAATTAGAACTACTGTTTATCTGGAATGTAGAAGGGGCGGGGATTACAGGCGGTAGGATAAAAGGGGGTCCGCTTCACGCTCGAGTGAAAGCGAACGCCGGGTTCGCTCTAGCGGACCCCGAGTGAACGCGCAGCGAACCCAGAGCGCACCCAAAACGCACCCAAATTTTTTAATAGCGGACCCCGAGCCTGGAGTTCGCTCTGGTGTTAGGTTGTGTCCGGTCAGTACTGTACCTTCACTGCACAAATTGTCGTCCATCGGTATATATTGTCGCCGGCTGAAAAGTTACAAACGTACATATTGTCGCTGGCGACATTATGTAACCTACCCTTTCAGCAAAAATTGTCCCTCAAAATATTGTAATTTAAAGATTTTTTGTTTGTCTTTTTTTGTAGTTTTGCGAATGTAATTGGTGTGTAAATCTCACTGACGTGTCTCGTATGCTAATTCATGCAGTGCGATTGTCATGGTACATATATCATGATTTGAGCAAATTTAAATGTACACTATATAATGGAGTTCTCACATAAGTAACAACTCTTCTGGCCAAGTAGATCTTGAGAAGAAGATTTTGAAAGAGTTTTTCCTATATATTCCTATGTAAAACTTTGATCATCTATTGTAGACCCACTTTTCCCCCGGAAATCATGGTCTGAAAAAAAATTAAATCTACACTTTTTAAAGAAGCTTTCACATACGTTTCAAGTTTTCTGGCACAGTGGTTCTTGAGATGATTTTTGAAAGATGTCACAAAATTTTTCACTTATTCTTAATTATCTTCCCTTTAAGGAGGGCATTCATCTTTGAACAAACTTGAATCCCCTCTATCCACGGATGTTTTGTAGCAAGTTTGGTTGAAATTTACCGGTAGTTCATGAGAAGAAGCTGAAAATGTGAAATGTTTACAGACGGACGGCATACAAAATGTGAGCAGAAAAGCTCATTTGAGCTTTCAGCTTAGGTGAGCTAAAATGTTGGCTCTAACCCCAATTATATGGGCACATGTATAAGAATAGCGCAAAAATATTTTCCAGATAATCATTACTACTGAACAAATAAATTAACCATTACTACTGAACAAAAGAATTAACATTCAATCTCCTGGTTTATATAACAAGAATAAAAAAATATGTTGATGTATCAGATATATCAAGAATTATGGTATATTGGCATATAATAGTGGTGTACTTCAATCCTGGACACAATTTTCTGACCAAAACCTTTTCTCCCTACAGTATTGCGAGTAATGCTAAATAAATACAACTTGTTTACTTATTTATCAGCCATACACTTTCTCTCTCTCTCTCTCTCTCTCTCTCTCTCTCTTCATGACCTTAGTAAATATTCTTCAATACAG